ACGATCGTGGATAGTGTGAAGGCCATGAAAAGGCTAATAGGGCGAATAGCTACCTTAGGTCAGTCCATTTCGTGGTCATCAGATCGAAGTCGTTGATGAGTGGTGATTTTACCACTCATTCTAGTCTCTTTTCCTTAGCGTTTATGTTCTTTAACTATAATATAAGGTTGTTTATGGTGTGTATTGTTAGTTTTTCAGGTAAATGATGCTACGAAGTGAATTGAATCAAATTGAAGTGGAATTGAGCAAAAAGAAGGTGAAAACAAGCAAAAACTTTCCAGTGATTCCGCTTCTGCGGAAGTATGGCCGCAGAAGCGATCCCGCTTCTGCGTAGAAAAAACCGCTTCTGCGGAACAATCTGAACAGGCAGAAACCGCATCTGCGGTTGTAATTCCGCCTCTGCGGAAGCGCATCTGCGCTTGGTGAACCGCATCTGCGGTGGCTGTGTTGATTAAGGTTTTCGCTTCTGCGTTTGGAACTCCGCTTCTGCGGAGCCGCACCTGCGATGATTCTTCCGCAGGTGCGGAAGTCGTGCATCAGACCTGGGCAGAATTGACATTTCACAAGTTCTCATCCCAAACCATTTTTATACTCGTCCAAGCAGACTTTTTACGACTCTCTTGAGATCTTTGGCTTATTTTCAGTTCATAGAGCTAGAGAGAACAAGTATTGAAGCTAGGGTTTTGCACACACACTTGGGTTTTGAAGATTGAAGCTTGTGGTTAAGATTTCTTACCCATTTATATTTATTTCTTCATTTCCTTGCTTTGTATTGAATATTTAAGTGTGTAGTATTTATTTCCAACACTTGAATCTTGTTTATGGAAATACTCATATTTAAAGTGTGGATTAAATACCTTGTTGTGCTTATGTATTAAATGATTTTTGTTCTTTTATGAAGTGAGTTATTGTTATTTTAATTATTCTTGTTCTTTAATGTTTCCAAAGGGAGTAGCTAACCCTAGGACTCGCCCATTAACTCCGAATTAATTTTGGAAAAGATATTTTGGGGTTGGGAAAGATTAATTAACAAGAACTTGAGGCGTTAACCCTCATTTTATAGATTCTATCTAGGGATAGGATTGAACTACTTGTAGCCATTCCGGGTGTGCTTAATATTCTAATTGTTTTAGGGATAATTCAATTAGGAAGTCTTGTTAGTCTTCGGAAGAAGCTAATTAAGAATTATTATCCGTGGCTAATTAACATAAACTCGCTCATATTTGTAAAATCATGAAATACATTGGATCGTTACTTGAGTGTAATTCCCGATGCAACCATGCTTGTAGCCATTGATCATTTTACTTGCTTTTTAGGTTAGTTTACATTTCCGCATTTAGATATAAAACATTTTCAAAACCAAATTCTTATTGTTTGGCATTGCGCGATAAGCAATAATTTTCTTACATTCCTAATCGCCTACACATTGTTCTCTGTGGGATTCGACCCCGACTCATAGTTGGGCAAATTATATTGCACGCGACCGTGTCTATTACTTTTTAGTAGTGGATTTGGACGTCACCAAAATTGGCGCCGTTGCCGGGGAACAATTTGGCGTAATTTAGGTTGTTTGAGAAATAAGCGAAAGTGCTTTGGTCCAAACTTGTGAATATTTGTGTAATTAAATTCTCTTACCTTGGTCTATTTTTCTTGTTTGTTTCTTGTTTATTTTCATATGTTTGAAAAATGGCATCATATAGTGAAAATTGGTCGGATGGTAGTTGTTCATACTTTGATGACCCTTGTCCTTATTGTGGAGGACCACACTCGTGGCAAAATTGTTTAAATTCTCCCGGGGGTGGATTGTGCGCACAATCTCAAACCCATGAGTTGAGTATTTGTGATAAGTGTGGTTTTCAAAATGGTCATTTGGATGATTATGCTTATTTGTCCTTCCCTTCCCCAAGCCCCTACTATGATGATTCTACTTTTTGTAATGAAAGTTATAGGGCTATGGCAGTTGAAGAAGTTGAACATGGCCAAAGTTGAGATTTCAAGCTTATGTTGGAGTGTTTACTTGACAAAGGAAACAAGGAGAAAAATGCCTTGGAGGAGCTTTTGGAGAATAGTCTCCAAAATGACTTGGCACTTGAAAGGTTGCACTCACAAATGGATGAGATGATCGAAGCCTTAAGGATTCCAAAAGCCTCGGAAGTGAATGATATCCAAGAACCTTCCTTGGAGATTGAAACTGAAAATCCTTCCTTGGCACTCGATCAAAACCAAGAAGAACTCTCAAATGCTCAAAATGAGAAAATGATGCTCATGTTGGAGACCATTCTTGAAAATGAGGAGAAGCACAACATTGCACTCGAGAACTTGAAACAAGGCTTGGCTCACAATGATGAACATATTCGCACTTTGGAGGATCGAATGCAAATATTGGTTGAGGCTCACTATGCCCACCAACTTGAGAGTGTGGAAGGAAGCCAAGAAGAGTCCAATTCCGAGGAAGAAAGTGAGCTTTACTTTGAGGATTCAAGCATTGAACATCCGCCGACCGACTCCATGAGTGTTAATGATGCCAAGAAAAAATGGAATTAGAGTCAACCGGTGTAAATGAAAATGCGGTTGAGATTGACTCTTATCCGGGGGAAGAAGAGGATATCAAAATAGAAAAATTGCGAAGTGAAGGCTTGAAGTCACATTCCAAGCATTTTTAAACATTGGAATTGTGTGGTGATATGGAAATTGAACTACACGAGTCAATGAGGAATTGCGAGGAGGAAAGACAACAATCATACATTTTACAGTTTGAGAAAGCAAGAAAGCAAAATGACATTCCTCACATGAGAGCCAAGAAGTGCAAAATGAAGAAATTAAGGATTGGCTTAATCATCAACTTACCACCCCCCATCGCTCGTGGTCACAAGCTTGATTCCAATACTATCATCCAAAACTTAAAGAAAAGGTTGGATGATGCAAAGGGAAAATGGAGAGAAGTTCTACCCGAGGTCCTTTAGGCATATCGACCGGCATCAAAGTCCAGCACAGGGGCCACCCCATTATCTTTGGTATATGACTCCGAGGCCTTAATCCCTATCGAGGTCGGTGAACCCAGCGCCAGGTTTCAACATGCATCGGAGCAGTCAAATCACGAGGCTATGAATACTAGCCTCGATCTATTAGATGAAAGCGAGAGGCATCACTTGTTCGGATGGAAGCACAGAAGCAAAGAATCGAGAGATACTACAATAGAAGGACCAACCTTCGACACTTTGGAATCAGGGACTTAGTTCTACGGAAAGTCACCCTCAATACTCGAGACCCGAATGAAGGGAAACTAGTCCCGAATTGGGAAGGACCGTACCGAGTCCTCGAATTTGTCAACAAAGTTTCTTACAAACTTAGCACAATGGAAGGTAAACAGATGCCTAACAATTGGAACGTATCACTACTCAAACGATACTATTGCTAAGGTATGACTTTCTTCTTTTTGTCCATTTGAATTTTAAACTAATCCAGTGCATGTGATCGATCAAAGATATCGAAGACACCTTTCTACATGAAGGCCTTAGGTTGCAAAGCACACGTTGCTCTCTTTTTCCCTTAGATCAGATTTTGTCCCAAATGGGTTTTACCGGCGAGGTTTTTAATGAGGCAACAACTATGTTCTACCTAAGGAGAACTCAACAGTATCCAAGGCTTCTTTTCAACCAACCTCGAATACTGGGGGGCATCACCCTCGGAGGTTAGATTATGTTTTCAAGGAAAATACTTCATGCCAAAGAGGGCCTCGATAGGAGAACTTTGTAATGGGCTAAACGGTCAGATGAACCGTGTCCATATAGAATAGTCGAGCCCCGACGGCAAAACATGTACGCATATATCAATTATTCAAAGAAGCATTCTTTCTATATCAAAACACTTTGTGTCTCAAAGAAGTCTACTATTATACGAGCTTCATACTTATAATTCTACGGGAAATGGCTTAAGAGCCAGAATGCAAATGCACCCCGAATACTCGGGGACTATCATCGACAGTCAATACATCCGAGTCATCGAAAACTCAAACTCATAGGAACTCAAAGAGGCATCCCCTCGATATAAAGGCCAAGGCCAACATACTCGGGGACCAACCTTTCGAACAAGTTCAAAAGTTTATCGGGAAACAAGTCCAAGAGACATACCCGAAGGCTACGGCCATATTAAAGGCTAAGACCATATTAAAGACTACGGTCATATAAAAAGGCAACGGCTGAAATAATGCGGCTCGGAGACGTCCGAATTCCGCCATAAAATAAAGGCCTTCAAATACTTTGAAAAACCGATTAAATCAGGCTAACCTCGGCAAAAGAAAAGGGCTTCGATAATATAAGCCCTCGAATAATTTAAAGGCTTCAATAACATCAGCCTTCGAAAAATCCTCAAGAGGTATTTGATCATCGTTACACAAACAAATTAAAAATTAGGTTCCAATCGATCGAACCTTCAAAAAATCCAACGAGTACAAAAAACACATGCTAAGGCATAGAAAAATTTTCACTTAGTCTTTCAGCCGGAAAGAGGGAAAAATTATAGCCGCTTTAGAGGCCGAATTGGCCCAACTTAAAGAGCCTGAGGGCCAACCCAAAGAGCCTAAGGGCTAACTTAAAAGATCCTAAGTGCCAATATAAAAGAGCTTAAAGTCTGAAGCATGAGGAGTTCGAGACCTTACTCTCACTCAACTCGGACTCATGAGTCCCATCATCCCGAGCTCGCGTCAAATTAACTAAGCTTATCTCGAGGATAAACAAAAATCTTAAGAGGTATTCTATTATAAAGATCGCCCATTGATCAATTAAAAACCTAAGGGTTTATTATATTCTAAGTCCAAGCCAATATTCGGACTGATCATTAGAGTTATAGCATAAAAAATTTTCGAATAAAGACGAAACGAAATTCAACTCAAATCAAAGATGAAGCAAAGAGGTTCTTTATATTTATAAGAGATGTTTACGAAAGATATTTACAACACCGACGAGGGGCCCTTGCACAAAAACAAAACAAAGGAACCTCATCTACTTCGGGGCCGCATCCCCGAGAACTACATCTCTGGAAGCCACATCCTCGGGAGCCGCATCTTCGAGAGCCGCATCTTCAGGAACCTCCCTCTCGGAGACTTCATCTTCATCTCCTCTGCTCTCGAAGCCACTAGTAGAATCCTCGTTATCAGAGAGAAAAGCAGCAGCCTCTTCCTCCAAAGTCTTTGCTTCTTCAATATCGGCCGAGAGGTTAAAGCCACGAGCATGCACCTCTTCGAGGGTCTCTCTCCGAGACTGTCGCCTGGCATGGTCGAGACCACATGACCACTTAACTTCGGTCGCAGTGGAGATCTCCTGTGCCCGAATGTTAGCGGCTTCAGCATCAGCTCGATACGAAGATACAAATGCCTCTGCATCAGATTTGGCCTTCGCAAGCTGATCAACGAATTTAGCTTCGAGCTCCTCGATTTTGCAGCTTCGGGCCAGGCTTTCCTCCTTCACACTTTGAAGCTAGCATTTAATTGATGTTAGCTGCTCCCGAAAAGTATCTTTCACGGAGGCGAGACGGTCCATACATTGCTTCCGTCCCAGGGTCTCGGCATTCTTCATCTTGAGCTCCTCGCAAAGCTGCTCCACCAGCTCGCCCTTCTGCTGGGCCTACAAAGTTGAAGTGTTAGTCACTTAATCGGATAAATGCATAACAAATACTCAAAGGGTATACTACCTTTTCAACAAGTTCAGCCTGTTCTCGATGAGCCTTCACCAACTCAACTCGGAGATCCCTGATCTCCTCCTCTTTCAGAATATAAAGGTGCTTAAGGCCATCCCTCTCTTCTACGAGCTTCTTGAGCTCGGACTCACATCGAGCAAGCTCGATTCAAGACTTGGAAAATGCTTCTCGATGGAGCATCACAGCGTTCACAAAAGGGAAAAGTTAGACTCAGAACAACAAAGATAAAGCGCAGGCATAATATTAAGGGCGGAAAATTACTTGTTTGAAAAACTGCTGGGCCTCATCAAAAACAAATAAGGCATCTGGGTTGGGACCATCTTCGACCCCTGCAAGGCACTCTCAAAAGACATCATTCCCTTCGTGGATCGTTCCCACGTCGGGAAATCTCATATTCCGGGCATCTCGAAATTGCCCGTCGGAGAACTCAGGACCAGGCAGCGATTCAACCACATTGATTACCCTAAAATATCCACTAGGGACATTCTCTTCTCTTTTGAGAGACTCGGAACCGAGCCCCTCGATCTCGCCCTCCAAAAAACCTCCAACACGAGGTGCTCTTTTGCTGCTTGGCTCGGGGACTTTGCTCGAACTCCCCTCAGAAATATCTTCAGTTCGAGAATGAACCGCATCAACCACCATTGGCTCAGCGGTCTTTGAAGCGTGAGCGCTTCCTCTTTTCCGAACTATCAACAGGCAGTCATCATCTTCCCCCTCTTCATCCTCATCCCGAAGGCGTTGGGCCATTTCTGGAGATAGGGCCACGGTATCGGCCTTAGTCTTTTGAGCCTTGCTTTTCATTGGCTTCGGGGAATTTGCAGGCGATCCCCTCTTTCTTTTCTTTTTCTTGGAGGTCTTTGGGATTTCTTCTTCACCGGGCGGGGGCAGACGAATAGCAACGATGTCTCCGAGGCTTGCATAAAGATGAAGTAAGTATTTCACTATGGAACATAGTAATGCAAACAAGAGAACGCACCATGGTTTTTAGCCTCCCATCGGCCCTTGGTCAGGTCACACCAGCTGCGTTCCGCATATGAAGAAGTGGAAGCCACTTGACGTACCCAACCTTCGAGGTCTGGGACCGCACCAGGAAACCAAACAACAACTACACCATAGGAAAGGGATTAGATAGAGAAAGGGATGAAGTCGAGAAAGAATAAGGAAAGCAGAATATAAAGTCACTACCAATAAACCTGTACTTACGTTTCATGTTCCATTCCTCGGGGAATGGCATCCTCTCGGCAGGAATCAGGTGGAGGTCCTGATTTGGACAAATCGGCTCATCCATCCTCGGTCCTTGACCTTATCGATGCTGGAGAAGAGATATTTCGAGGATCGTCATTGCAGCTTTATCAGACAACCTCGATAAAGGCGAGGGTTGTATAGCCTGATCAGGTGGTCGAGGGTGAAAGGCATACCCTCGATCAAGATCGAGAAGTACCTAATTAGGTGGAAAATGCGCCAGAATGAAGGGTAGATCTGGCCAAGCATCACCTGGTATTATTGGAGAAAATCAACAATCACTGAGTCTATGGGACCTAGAGCTGGATCAACAAGAACCAACGTGAACGGATAGGTATACACGCTTAAGTACCCTACCTTATGAGTAGGGATGTCCTCTTCAGGGGAAGGGATCGCTACATCCATGTTCTTCCAGTTGCAGTCCTCTTTCACTTGCTCGAGTTCATCTTCGGTTATCAAGCAGATGTATCGAGACATGGGCTCACATTGGCCCGGTGTCGATGCAGGTTTATCGATTTTGAAATCGGAAGTTAGTTCGCATGGCGGAGGAATACACTACTCGATACAAGATGGCACCACCGCTCTACCTCTGGCCGGTCGCGATGATGAAGAAGCTTTTTCTTGCTGAGGGACAGTTTTAGATGTTTTGGCCATTGCGGCTTGTAAGTTCAAGAAAAGTGAAGGAGTAAATGCTGCATTAAGAACAAATTGAGAGAAGGGTGAACTCAAAGAAGTTGAAGGAGTTAAAGGGATTTTAAGAATGATTTGAGAAGTAAAGTTTGCAAAAATCGTGAAGTTGGCCTATTTATAGAGGCCGCTCAAGCGTGTTGGGGAAGCCAAACAGCCGACCAACAACCGCCTCCAATTAATGGCCTTGGCAACTATGCGGAAATGACTTTTCAATCACTTTAGCCGCTGACATCACGAGATTGACATCATGATCAAGGCATCGGAACATCGAGGATCAAACCGTTTCTTATTGTCTTACTCTAAGAAACGCAAGGACTATCTGTATACCGTCAAAATTGGGTATGGCCGATTTCCCAAGCTCGATGGGTCGTCTTAAGCCCAAGTTTAGGCAAGGTCGAGTTCGAGCTCAAAGGACCAAACTCGAGCTCGAAGGTAGAGTGCAATGCCCGAGGATCGAAGTTTGATGAGAATCGAAGCTGAATATGCTCAACCCCGAAATAATGTCATTATGGATTTGTAACAGAATGAGAGAGATTCCTACCACGTCCCCAAAATCATGGCACAAATCCCAGAATAAAATTGTACGATTCCGTACTAGGCGGTTAGACAACTGTCCAAATAAGATTCTTTACTGTGAATGGAAATGTACCTTATTTAGGGCTCCCATATTATATAAAGGGGACCCCAATCATTTGTAAATATAATCTAATCACTGGCAAAGAATATACTCTCTACTTTTCGCTCATTGTTCATCAGAATTGTCCTTTAGCTTTACTATTCTTACTTTATTGTTCTTGATTCATCTCGAGGTCACTGAGCTCAAGTTCGATACTGCTTAGTAACACTAGTTTGATTTCGTTCATTTCTTTCAATTATACTTTATACTTCTTGATTATTAATTGGTATTGAATTGAATCACATATCTTTAAAATCACAAATCAAATTTAATTGTTACTCGTATTTTTGACGTAAACAGTTCGGCGCCCACCGTGGGGCTAAAGATAATAGTGATTATTTAAGTACTGATTCTCATAACACACGTTATTTTTATACTTTTTCTTGTCAAGAATTTTTGATTCTCAGGATTAAACATGTCAAACTCGCAAAACACACCTGTTCCTGACAATGAAGGTCTTGGATTTCATGGGGATAACAACAATGTAGGGGTTGGTGTACCACCGATAAACCCTAGGGAAGTGCCAACTGTAGAACAAGTTGATGTTAGTTCGGACATCGCTTTGGATGCAGATTTAGGCGCAGACCCCGGAGGAAGTGTACGCAGGGAAGTCCGATCTGGGGACCAAGGAACACAAGGCATATGAGATGGGGGAGTCAGTATCCAAGTTATATTCGAGATGTTGCAAGCTCAAGAGATCGCCATCTCTCAACTTTAGAGTCAGAATAAAACTTCGAGTGTAGCCAAACCAGAAAATACTCGAGGTCTTGAACCGGCGCCAGAGAGGTCAAACAAAAATGGCTCGGGGAATGACCCCACTATTATGAGAATACTCGATGAGCTCACCACAAGGATAGAGTCTGGGGAAAAGAAGATTGAGGAAAATGACAAAAAGGTAGAGACTTATAACTCCCATGTTGATCAAATACCAGGGGCACCCCCGTTCTTGAAGGGTTTAGATGCCAAAATGTTCATACAAAAACCATTCCCTCAAAGAGCGGCTCCGATTCCCATTCCTAAAAAGTTTTGCATGCCCAATATACCGAACTATAACGGGACAACCGACCCTAATGAGCATATTACCTCATATACTTGTGGGATTAAAGGAAACGACCTAAATGATGATGAGATCAAGTCCGTGTTGTTGAAGAAATTTGGGGAAACTTTGTCGAAAAGAGCCATGATTTGGTATCACAAGCCCTCGAGGGATACGGACAGTGAATCGAGATCAAACAAGGAACAGTATCAGCCGCATATCAATCGGAGAAACAACGGCTCAGGTCGTGACGCTCCTCGGAATGATCGGAGAAATGATCAAGGTCAAAGCTCTCGGGGTTTCATAAGTAAGAATGGGTTCGATAAACGTACCGACCCCGCGGAGGCACCTCGATTGTCAGAGTATAATTTCAGTGTAGACGCATCAAGGATTATGTCGGCTATTGGAAGAATCGAAGATACCAGGTGGCCCGGGCCTATACAAACCGATCCTTCTCAGAGGAATCCAAACTTGATGTGTAAGTATCATGGAGCACATGGCCATAGAACCGAAGACTGCAGGCAAATAAGGGAGGAGGTAGCTCGGCTGTTCAACAAGCATCATCTTTGAGAATTTCTCAGTGATCGAGCTAAGAACCACTCCAGGGAGAGAGATGCAAGAAAAAATGAGCAGGAAGAACCACAACATGTAATCCATATGATCGTTGGCGGTGTCGATGTCCCACAAGGACCCATATTCAAGCGAACCAAAGTGTCAATCACTAGAGAAAAACGGACTAGAAGCTATGTGCCCGAGGACGTCCTATCATTCTATGACGAGGAAGCAGAAGGCGTATCTCAACCGCACAACGACGCCCTGGTAATTTCTATTTTTTTAAATAAAATTCAAGTTAAACATGTTCTAGTGGATCCAGGTAGCTCAGCAAACATAATCAGATCGAGGGTCGTAGAACAGCTCGGCCTACAGGATCAGATTGTACCTGTATCCCGGGCCCTAAATGGCTTCAACATGGCAAGCGAAACAACAAATGGGGAGATAATCCTACCAGTAAACGTAATCGGGACCATACAAAATACAAATTCCATGTCATCGAAGGCGACATAAGGTATAATGTGCTCCTCGGGAGACCATGGAAACACAACATGAGGGCAGTACCTTCAACTCTTCATCAGATGATGAAGTTCCTAACGGAGGATGGTGTTAAAACGGTCTACGGAGAGCAACACGCTGCAAAGGAAATGTTTGCAGTCGATGAAGTGACGTTGGTACCAGAGCCTTCGACCTCGGAGAAGTCGAGCACCAAAGGTAAGCAGGCGGTTAAATAGCAATCACCGCCCCTAGCCTCGACGGAATCGGAGCAACAGGTAATCGAATACGAAGAAGAGGATTTCCTTACTCCTCGAACCTTCGTCGTTCCCGAAGAGTCCGATGCAACCAAATCAGCTGTCGAGGAACTGGAGCAGGTCATACTGATCGAATGCATGCCTGAGAGAAAGGTATACCTGGGAACGGGATTAACCCCCGAACTCAGGAAAAAACTCATTTAATTTCTTATTAATAATATGGATTGCTTTTCTTGGTCCCATTTAAATATGATAGGGATTCCACCGGAAATCACAACACATCGGTTAAGCCTCTACCCCAGGTTCAAACCGATAAAGCAAAAAAGGAGGCCCCGGTCCGAGGTGAAACATGCGTTCATAAAGGACGAGGTAACCAAACTTCTTAAAATAGGGTCTATTCGGGAGGTAAGATACCCCGAATGGTTAGCCAACGTAGTTGTAGTTCCTGAAAAAGGAAACAAACTAAGAATGTGCATAGATTACAAGGATTTAAACAAAGCATGCCCAAAAGACTCTTTCCCACTGCCCAACATCAATCGTATGATCGATGCCACGGCCGGCCACGAGATCTTAACTATTCTCGACGCCTACTCTGGGTACAATCAAATTTAGATGAACCCAGAGGACCAGGAAAAGACCTCGTTTATCACTAAATTTTGAACTTATTGTTACAACGTAATGCCCTTCGGGCTAAAAAATGCAGGAGGTACATACCAATGCCTAGTTAACAAAATGTTCGAGGAACAGATAGGTAAATTGATGGAAGTTTACATTGATGATATGTTGGTTAAGTCCCTACGCGCAAAGTACCATTTAACTCATTTGCAGGAAACATTCAAAATCTTGAGGAAGTACAACGTGAAGCTTAACCCGGAAAAATGTGCCTTCGGAGTCGGCTCAGGTAAGTTCCTTGGCTTCATGGTGTCGAATCGAGGTATCAAAATCAACCCCGACAAGATCAAGGCCATCGAGGATATCACGGTCATGGATAGTGTGAAGACCGTGCAAAGGCTAACAGGGCAAATAGCTGCCTTAGGTCGGTTCATTACGAGGTCATCAGATCGAAGTCATAGGTTCTTTTCCTTGCTCAAAAAGAAGAAGGATTTCGCATGGACCCCGGAATGCCAGCAAGCCTTGGAAGAATTGAAGTGATACTTATCGAGCCCGCCTTTGTTTCATACCCCGAAGGTAGATGAAAAGCTTTACTTGTATTTGGCAGTATCCGAGATAGCGGTAAGTGGGGTACTAGTCCGAGAAGAGCAAGGTACGCAATTTCCTGTTTATTATGTAAGCCGAACTCGAGTAGATGCTGAAACTAGATATCCTCACTTAGAAAAATT